AAAACATCTATTGAATACAAGTTTCAGATAACATTCCGTTATCCGTTATAAATTATCTAAAATAAGATTGATAAATTCAAGTCATTATTTAAATTTTTTTCCGTTATAATAGTAAATTTAAAATTTAAATTCTTATTCGCCTTCTAAACTTCAAAGACTTGAAATATTCTGTAATAATGTTTTCACTTAAACAATTATTATTTTGTTGTTTCATTAAATTTAGTACCTAATCAAATTATTTTAATGTTCAGTATTCATAACACCATGACAAACTAAGCGTTTGAATATTATTTATGACATACCTACTAAATATATTCAGTTATTTTATTCCACGTAGTCTGTAAGATATTTGATGTTTTGTGATAAAAAAAAGATGGCATAATGCTTTGGATGTTGTTCAAATAATGAAAATAAAAACGGTTCTTCAGAAATTGATGGACACAGTATCAATATAAAAATGTCACTATTATAAGCAGTATAAATTCGAAATATATATAGGTAATTATATTAGTATTACTGTCATATATTTTATTGTGTAATTATATATGTTTTTTTTTAACATTTATTAGAATATATACAATCTGTAATAATGGTTACAATAAGCATATGGGCTGCGTGTAATTATATAACTGTGAAACGAAAAAAAAAATCGTATAAACGCTGTATTAAATCATATATATTATAATACAACTTGTTCGTTCGACAATTTTTTAATACAGCACACAAATATTACAGTAAGTGTTTATAAATAGACCCTGGACTGCATAGCACTGTATTAAGTTTAAATTGGTGCGGTAGAACCTAATGTAAACTACCAAACCATCAACAAACATCAACTTAACATGCGGCTGACTACCACAATAAACATATTGAAATGAATAAAATATTAAAGTAAACAAAAACGTGTTCGTATTTCTACCTGACRATGGGTTCAGGACCACCTGCAGATTGTATAGGTATTTGCTGTAATAAARGCATACAGCACTAAACATTTTATTTAAAATCCCATTCTAATAATGAATATTATAGGTACTTTCAATATTTGAATTATGTATTGGCTTTTTATAATATAATCTAGTCATTATATTATTGTATAGTTTAATTAAATTACATTTTATTTATAATATGTCGTCTTTTTTAAATTATATTATTTTTTTCATGTTGCATTCAA